CTGCAATGGTAAGAGAGGTCTTCAAGTACTATCCCTTCAAAGAAATGGAGGACAGCACCATCTTACTACCTGGGCTGTAAGAGTGGACAGTCAGGTTTCTTCAAGCGAGATGGACAAAGCAGTGACAAGCTATGTATTGTGCCAAAGGTAAGACATTAAGCAGCTTAGTGTTGTCAGAGGTGGAATGGTTGTACATGGTCACAAGTTTTGTTCCCCAGGGCTCAGTTTTGGGTCCAGTCTTGTTTAACATCTTTATCAATGATCTGGATGAGGGAATCGAGTGCTCCCTCAGTAAGTTTGCAGATGACACCAAGTTGGGTGGGAGTGTTGATCTGCTCAAGGGTAGGAAGGCACTGCAGAGGGATCTTGCCAGGCTGGATTGGTGCACCAAGGACAATTGTATGAGACTCAAGGCCAAGTGCTAGGTCCTGCACTTTGGCCACTACAACCTCAGGAACAGTGGCTGGAAAGATGGCTGTCCAAAAAAGACCTGGGCGAGATGGACAAAGCAGTGACAAGCTATGTATTGTGCCAAAGGTAAGACATTAAGCAGCTTAGTGTTGTCAGAGGTGGAATGGTTGTACATGGTCACAAGTTTTGTTCCCCAGGGCTCAGTTTTGGGTCCAGTCTTGTTTAACATCTTTATCAATGATCTGGATGAGGGAATCGAGTGCTCCCTCAGTAAGTTTGCAGATGACACCAAGTTGGGTGGGAGTGTTGATCTGCTCAAGGGTAGGAAGGCACTGCAGAGGGATCTTGCCAGGCTGGATTGGTGCACCAAGGACAATTGTATGAGACTCAAGGCCAAGTGCTAGGTCCTGCACTTTGGCCACTACAACCTCAGTAACAGTGGCTGGAAAGCTGCCTGTCAGAAAAGGACCTGGCTGTGTTGGTGGGTAGCTGGCTGAACATGAGCCAACAGTGTGCCCAGGTGGCCAAGAAGACCAGCGGCATCATATCAGAAATGGTGTGGTGAGCAGGAGTAGGGAAGTGATTGTGCCTCTGTACTCAGCACTGATGGGGCCACAGCTTACGTATTGTGTTCAGTTTTGGGCCCCTCACTACAGGAAGGACACTGAGGTGCTGGACCATGTTCAAAGAAGAGCAACAAAGCTGGTGAAAGGTCTAGCGCAAGAGTCTTATGACAGAGAGCTGGGATTTTTTAGTCTGGAGAAACAGATGCTGAGGAGAGACCTTATTGCTCTCCATGGCTACCTGAAAGGAGGTTGTAATGAGGTGGAGGTTGGTTTCTTCTCCCAAGTAACAAGTAAATGTATAGATCTGATGCTTAGGGACCATGGCTTAGGTTAACAGTTTGACTCAATGATCATAGAGGTCTTTTCCAACCTAAATGATTCTCTGATTCTATGACAAACAAACAAATTGGTAAGAAGTACAAGGAAGCTAAAAGAGTATGCAAAAAGAACGTGTGAAAACCCTGGCTGTCTTAAGAGTGAAATTTTCAGTAGAACGTTAAGGTCCACAGAGGACTTATCTAACCAATACACAAAGAAGTCAATCTTTAATAAGCTGAAAGCACCAATTAGATCTGCAGTTAATTGTACTGTGTTTTTACAAATCATTGTGTGTTAAGGTCAGTACATGTAGCTGCATTATTTGGTGAAAGGGTTGGAAGTGTCATAAAGACAAATATTCAAGGGAGAAAATATTTTTTTTTTAAATGTAGAAGAAATCTAGCAATAGGGAAAAATTTCTAGTCACTCTTGTTCCAGTTTAGAGAATTCAAGATGCTTTATAAGCATTCATGTATCACTGCACTGAATTATGTAGGTGTAATACAAACATGTAGTTTAGGATGGCTCTTTTTTTTTCAGACAGCCATACTCAGAAAAAATGAAAATATGGCTGATCTTTCCCTTCAGCTAGTATTTCCTGCAGAACAGAGGGTAAGCGTAGATGGTTAAATACACCTGAGGCAAGAAAATAAGGAAAACTAAGCTGAGAATGATTATGCATTTAACTGAGACAAGCCATAACTCCAGAGTTAAATTATAATCCACTTAAAAGATGATGGGTCAATTTTGACTTCTGTCAAGCCAGAAATTTCCCATAGGAAGCTACCGTCTGAACACAAGCAGGTGTTCAGATTTCATTTAAATTTAGTGGTCTTCACAGCTCAAATAGGAATTTTGCAGTCCATCTAACCATCCAGGCGCAGCTCTTTTAAAAGCAGGTTTTGTTTTGTTTTCCTCTCTAGAGGCATACTTTTTTCTCACTCTGCATCTCCAGCTGTTGGTTATCAAATCTGTGTTGGAGAATTTAATGAATAAAAGTCTGTGGGGATTAACTTGGTAAGAAGTTCATGTATATCAAACACTAAAATGCTGTAATGCAATGGCTCAAAATCTTATCAGCAGTAACGTATTAGTAGTGGCACATTTTTTGGAAAGCTTTACTGGAAAGGATGTAAGCAGGCTGGGCATGCTGAAGGGAACTTGACCCTGGCCTCTGCTTCTAATGTGATAATTTCCTTTTCAGCTTGATAGCAGTTTCCTAGTTCCATGCTTCCTTGAGCAGTTCAATTAAAAAAAAAAAAAAAAAAGCAGAGGTATAATAGATTGAAGGGACTTGGAAATATTATCAGCATTTCCTTGAGGCATGAGGTCAACAGTAATAGTTTAACTGATGTAGCAACTGCCTGTTTTAAAGAAGTGACTTACACTTGAATGATAAGAATACTCCAATGATAAGAATAACTGCTGTTCCATACGGCTTAAACAAAGGGTGTCATTCAATGGCCTAGAATTGCCAGGCATGGAGCCCCAAGGGCCGTAGAATTGCCAGGCAGGGACCCCACATCACACATGATTCTGGCCCTGCTCTGACTCAGGATAATGCTGCAGAAAAGGCTGCTTACATTCCTCAACCTGGGATGCTGGCTATCTGCTAAGGAAAAAGGATGTATCAGCAAACATGATAGTGTAATCGCTAACATGATTTTTTCTTTCTCAAACATCAGTTTCCTGGTTATGATGTTGATCTTGAGAAACGCTGAAGACTTGCAGAATGAGGTGGAAAGTGTTAGGTTATATTTAGGTAATCGCAACATTTAATCAGTTCAGTTAGTTAAGCAAAGTCCATAGAAAAGGTAATTAATCAAAATCAGAAAAAGTAATGATAAAATACTTTTTATAATTATTTTGATGTTGTACTTTTCTGGGCTGATACAAAGAATTTTGAACTCAGTTAGAAACTTTCTTTTGACTTTGAAAACTTCTTGAGCTTTGGTTCAGCTCTGGGACTGCAGGTCAAGTATTTGCTCACGGTGCTTGACCTAGGCCTTTTGCTGCCTAGAATGATGTTGCAGGCACTGGATCTTGGTCCTTGATATCCTTGGTCATTAGAGCAGATCCTTTTCACTGTCACTGTGGTCACGCTGTGGTAAAATGTGAGCTTTTCTCTCTCCCTTCTCTCCCTTCTCTCCTCTCCCTTTCCTCCTCTGTTTTCTTTATCTTTTATCTTTTCTCTTTCACATGAGAGACAAGAACTGAAGTTAATGATTGCCTCACACTGATAAGGTCACAAATTCAGTTGTTGACCAGCCAATAACCAAGCTGCCCATGAGTGGATGAAAAGTGTTTTTGTGTCAATATTGATTGCTAGAGTTGTGATAATTTTTTTTGTGACTTATTTGCTTTAAGTCTATTTTAAGTATCATTCTTATTGATGCCATTTTTACTACAAAGTTGACAGTCTTTTCTATCTTTTCATAATGTATGGAGTGTTTGTAGTACAAGAAGGAATGCAGTGGAGATTTTAAGTTACATATGTCTGGACAGAAGTTTTGTAAGTCTTTTGAATTCTTAGAGAGTTAAGGGGCATTTACAGCATCAAATGATGACAGTTGTTTATCATCTTCACCATATCCCAGAAGTATTATCTCTCGGGTCTCAAATTCTAGTGGTACAGGGTATCTACTGATGGATTATCTGGTTATCAAGTGGCTTTGCATGCACTGCAAAGCTAATGAAGGTAGCAATGATATTTTAAATCCTGCACTTAAAAGAAAATCAACTCTAAAAATTCTGTATAAGTGGTTAAGTTATAAGACATCACAAAAACATACAGAATTTGTACTTGTTGATCTTCCAAACAACAGAATACTGACTAGAATACAAAGCAGTACACTACCTAAGACATTAAGGACCTATATTAATATAGTATTTAAGAAAGTAATGTTTATAGCAAAATATCTGTGCAAGATTATCATTTAATGTTTGTGCTATGCACCTTATGAAAGTGGAACTGAAGCAGTATTTTAAAACTTGTATAAACATTGAATTCTCTACTAAGGAAAATAGTTCCTCATTATGGCATGCAGTCGTAGTGTCTATCAAGCAATGTTTTTGTTGCTGTTCTACGCAGCTAGCTTCGGGAGCTTGTTGTAATCCTGATTAAGCAAAGAAGCTCTGAATCAGATTATACATCTGGTAACAATTAGATGGAACAGTTACCATCCGGGGACGTACTATTTGCACTGGGAAAAGAAAAAAACCAAAACATACATTCTGCTGCATAGTTAAACTACAGTTAGATGTAATCTCCTGTCTCTTCATAAACTGTATCACACTCATTTATAACGATTGCATTGCCCTTTTTTTGGCATGTTGAAATGAAGAATGCTTCATGGATGACAAAACTCCTTCAGACTGTCATGTTTTATTGAGTGTTGAGAAAGAAACTGTGGAATTATTTTCATTGTTCTATCTGAATATAGAAAATGCGTGATTCTGTGAGTCTCTTGAGCAATCTAAGTAAAGAGAAAATTATACAAATGATACAACAGGAAAGTAGAGTTCAAAAATAATACGAGGATTTGCTGAATGAGATGTTAGATTCTCTGCTCTGAACAATGGCTACCCGAGGTGAACCTGGTCTGGTGATTAACATTAGCTGAGATTAAGTAAATGGATTATGATGTTTCTTCTAGCTGAGCGCACTTGGAATAAGACTAAGGATGTCCATCTCATATGTACATTCACATGTACAATTTATAAATCTCTGAAAACAAGCTAACTACTCTTTTATGTGCGTAGGATGTGACTGTGGGTGAGTACGATGAAATTATATACAATATATACCAGCTATATGGCGTTAGACATATTCTCATATATTTGGAACAAAGCCTTCCACTTAGTGTCTTTATAAAATTTAGCAGCTTTGTGCAAAAACTTCGAGTGAGGGGTTTTGCTGATGAGAATGCGGGCAAAGGTGATTCAGTTCTGTGTTCTGTTTGATTTTTATGCAGAATAAAATTCTTAACATTGTAATTATTAAAATATCTTATAGACATTCTGTATCATGTAATATCAGCTACTTCTTAATTTTAGAATAAAATCATTCAAGTATGAAAATCAATGCTGTGTTTAAGATGAAATGAAGCTATTGCAGTTTGATCACCTGTAGTATGAAATACTAACTTCTACAGTATGTTGATTATTCATTTGTTGAAATGTTTGCTATTTGTAAGATGCAAATATAAGGTATCTGAAAGGTGCACAAAATTTCCACTATTAAATTTAATACTAGATAGTATTCATAAAGGGTGTGCTATGCAGCTATCAAACTATCTTTTTTCATTAATTTTATGTTGTGCTAAGGAGAACTTCTTTTTCTCAGTTACCTTTGGGAATTCAAATTATTTCATGTTTATAACGAAAACTGTATTATTTCTAATGAAAATTGTATGTTTTTCTTTCTGTAAATGTTCTCTCTTTGGTTCGGATTGTGTTACTTCTACAGTGCCCAGATTCAGTCTAATAATTATATAAAATGTATTTCTCTTCCAAATGCTGGTGCTTACATAACTGAATGTTTTACACCAGTACAAATATCCAGAACGACTTCTGAAAGGATTCAGAAGCGATTATTATCAGCAGTCTCCTGAGGAAACCCACCTATTTCATGTCTTGTAAGAGCTGAATAATTGTGCAGTTAGATGAGATTCCGCACCGTTTAATGAGGAGTGAGAAGTTGTAGCACAGAGTAGCTGAGGGGCTGTGTATGTTTTTTTCTGTCTCCGGCCGTTATTGACAACGACTTATCCCCTTCCTCAGAGATCCTGGACTGGGATCTGTTAGTGAGCTCAAGTCTTCTTGGCCAGTTAAATGGTGTAACATGACATTCAGTTCACTTGAGCTTTACTACTGTCATTGCTGCTTTTCTTGGAGTAGAACATTTGCTCTGCAAAGAGAGTGAGTGGGAAAGTTTGTGCTGCAGCTGGCAATAAGAAATACCCATATGGATTTCCTTTAGGAATGTCAGTATAAACAGAATGACGCGTGAAGCATAAAATGGCTGATACAGATTGTGTCTCTAGTCTTATCTCACTTGTCAACCTCTCAGTTTAGAAGTGTAATGAAAATTTTGGCAGCTAATGAATAGAAGTGTCTAAAAAGATGAGCAATTAGAGGTCTCAGTGATTTCAGCTGAGGTGGAGCTCCTCCCTACAACAGAAAGTAGGCCATTTCGCCAGCCATCGTGGACTGGGTTGTGTAAGTTGTTGTAGCTAAGCTTGAAAATTTCTTCCTGCATTTTCCTTAATTAAATACCTACAGGATTTGGTTTTAATTTTTATAAATTTTATTTTTTTCCCAAAAATATTTTAAATAGAATTAAAATTATATTAAAAATACTACATTTGTTTTTGTGTACATCATTCTAGTGCAGACTTGTTTAGTAATTTTTCAGTTTTAGCAGTAGAGTACAATTTATGGCATAAATAATGTATTGAAAGAAGACATTTCTTTCTGTGTTCTGATCATTGGTCAGAATAGTTTTTGATGAGTTGCTACCTCTCAGCAAAAAGAAAACACCTAAGCTAAAAACAGTGCATTATTGGAAAAGCTGTAAGAGCACAGGAAGATAATATCTTGTCAAATCTGACTTTATTTGAACTTTAACTGTCTTGAAAACTACCAACATTTTCTTATAACTTTCAGAACTGATGAATGTAGTAGTAAACTAGTAAGAATATTGTTTTCTATAGCTTCTTTAAGAGAAGTATATAGTAGCCAAAAGAGATTGTTCCCTTAATCAATGTCAGCTATGTCAATGTGACATTGTCAAAGAATTTAATTTATATTATTTTGATGACAAACATATTCCCTGAGATTGCTATGCAGTTTTTCAGTAAAACTAGTAAAACTGCTTCCTGGAGGCTAATTAGTTGACGAGCCATTTCTACCCTGTGTTCCAGTCAAAGCAAGCCAACTGTTAAGATAAAGCAATATTACTCATTTAAAGGGCTGTCATTATAATATCTGTATGTAAATTGGATTCAAATAGAAAGATTGTAGTGATAGTGCTCTATTTTCAAGCATGAAAACCATCACTATAGTTGTCAGAAATACTCTGTTGTTTAAAAAAAAAGGGTATTTAAGTGTTTCTAAATTGGCTACTTCTACTGAAGAATACCCGATTTTTCCATGTCTTTATAAAGGACTAAAATACTTTTCTCTTAAAAAAATACTTTTCTCTGAAAAAAAGTCTTATCTGATCAGTAGTTTTCTCCTCAGTATAAATATTATGATGATTTATGTATCATGAAATATAAAACTTACAACAGAAAAGCAGTTGGTCTGTCAATTTATGATACAGCTTAACTCTAAAATGTGTTTTGGGCCCTATTCTGGTATTATTTACAGTGTAGTAAAACAGGAGCCTTTTCCCTGACCCCAATGGATTTGTTCTGGTGTAAAACTAGTATAGGGAATCAGAATTAATTGTATTGTCTTCCATTTTTGTTATAGACTGAATATGACTCATACCTAGACTCCATTCTACAAAGGACTTTTCTCATATCTTAAATATTAAATGTTGCCATTAGTTTCATCCTCAAGAAAAAAAACCCACAAAACCCCAAACCATCTAGTTATCATTCTGGACTGACAGATTACCTTCTTCTAAGAAAAAGTCTCTTGTACTGAAAAGATAAGAGATTTGAAACGACATTGGAGAGTTTTGGGAATATTTGTAAGTAGAGCTATGCTAACTTAAGCTGATAGTACTGGAGTCTTTGTGGAATTTAGAGATAACAGCTTCGATCCATTTAAATCTAATGACTTTTTGGCACAACTTGCTGCTGTTAGTTTCTTATAAATTCTCTTTCTGCACCTTTCAAAATGAAGACTGTGTTATTACTAGTCGTAAGAAAAGTTTTTATATCCATCTCCTCTTTTTTCCAGATTGCTGTCAAAATGAGTGAAACACCTTCAACTAGTTACTCGGTGAATCAGCCAAACTCCTCCGAGAGCGAACAGAGCTTATCCCCGCGCCACTTCAATGTCACTGAACCTGTGGTGGCAAAACGGATCTGCTTCTATAAAAGTGGAGATCCTCAGTTTAATGGGATCAGAATGGTTGTTAATAACCGATCATACAAGACATTTGACGCCTTGCTGGATAGTTTATCCAAACGGGTCCCGTTACCTTTTGGAGTGAGGAATATTAGTACACCAAAAGGGAGACACAGCATTACCAATCTAGATGATCTTGAAGATGGAAAATCTTATATTTGTTCCCATCAGAGGAAAATGAAGCCCATCAACCTGGAACAGGCTAGCAAAAAGCCACTGCCCTGGCAGATCAGTAGGCCTGTCAGTGCTCGACGTCGAGCTGTGCAATTAGCAAGGGAAAATGGAGGTGTATTTGGCCATCGAGAAATCAGAATAACAACTCCCAAAAAGATGTTTGTTTTCAAAAACGGGGATGTAAGATTAAGGCGCACCATAGTTCTGGGAAAGAAAAATACACAAACTTTTGAAGCCTTTCTGGATTATATGAGTGAATTAATGCAATATCCGGTTGCGAAACTATATACCACCGATGGCAGAAAGGTGAGGATAAAGTTGATTACTTAAAATTTTCCTGTGATTGTTTCTTTTTTAATTAAGAAGGTGACTTTAACACTTATAAACTTAGGACACTGGCCTAGTGTAAGATCTGATGTGCTGAATTTCAGCTGTTTCCTTTCTATGAATTTTCACCATCAGAAAGGTTACTAGCTTGGAGGAAATATACTGGAATCTTGCAATCAGAGAGAAGCAAGTGAGGATATTTTATTTTAAGTCATCATGAGAAAAGACTTTTTCTTACTCAGGCCTCTTTCAGGCATGCTCTCAGTTCTATATTTTATCCATTCACACAGAAACTTCCAGTAGTCTTAGTGGTATTTATCTGTGATTTTGAATGTTTTAAATGTTTAATCTTTGGGGAAGAAAAGCTGGACATGAGCAATGTGCATTGGCAGCCCAGAGGAACAACCGGATCCTGGGCTTCATCAAAAGGAGTGTGGCCAGCAGGCCAAGGGAGGGGATTCTGCCCCCCTGCTCTGCTCTGCTTTGGTGAGACCCCACCTGCGGTGCTGTGTTCAGCTCTGAGGCCACCAGCATGAACCTGTTGGAGATGTTCTGGAGGAGGGCCACAAAAATGATCAGAGGACTGGAGTACCTGCCCTGGGAGGACAGGCTGAGAGAGTTGGGGTTGTTCAGCCTGGAGATGGCTCTGGAGAGACCGTATTGCAGTTTTTCAATATTTAAAGGGGGCCATAAGAAAGATGGAGACAGTCTTTTTATGATAGGACAAAGGATAATGGTTTTAAACTAAAAAAAGAGGAGATTTATGATAGTGCTAAGGAAGAAATTTTTTACAGTGAGGATGGTGAAACACTGGAACAGGTTGCCCAGAGAGGTGGTAGAATGCCCATTCCTGTAAACATTCAAGGTCAGGTTGAATGAAGCTCTGAGCAACCTGATCTAGTTTAAGATGTCCATGCTCACTGCAGGAGGGTTTGACTAGGTGACCTTTAAATGCCTCTAGCATCCCAGAATATACTCTGATTCTAACAATGCAGTAAGTAGCATCTAGTAGCCACACATATATTACCATTACACAAATGCAGAGTGGTTTTCCATTAAAGACTTGGAACTGTGACACCTGGTTGTCTGTCATAGTTTTCAAAAGTGAACGAGGTTCTCTACCCCTAAACCCAAATAATGCAGCATTAATAACTCTGATTTTCATCTCATGTGATGTTTTATATAACTTTATCTCACTTAATGTTTTATCTGTGTATTGTTTAATCACAGAAAAGCACTTGTGATTATACCTAACAGGTATCTAGAAAGACAATTTGATGCAGAGCTCCGCAAATTCAAGGGAAATCTTATGTTTACCCTTGATTTGGTGAAAATCTGTATAGGTTGGGAAACTGCTCATATCACCTATAAGCCAGTGAAATGTGGTCTGTAAGCATTATCTTGCAATATATTTTGGAGCACAAGTTCAAAGCTATTAGATAAGGCTCTGAGCAGCTTGGTTCAGTCAGACCTGCTTTGAGCAGACGTTTATACTACATGACCTCCAGAGGTCTTTTCTAATGTATGTAGCTCTGTGATTCTGTCCTATTCCTCTGTGTCAGTATAGGTCAAGTACTTGTGGTGTATTTTGGATTTCTCCTTTCTTCCTCCAGATATGTGTTTGTATGTGTACCTATCTGCAAATGCATATTCTTATTTCATGACTATTAACAGTCATTGTGCAATGATGAAACAAAATTATATACGCAAACACTTAAATTATATAAAAATTTTGATCTGGATTCAAGATGCTTCTTAAAGTCTTTTTCTAATATATTTATATAACAAGACATACCCTCACAGAGATAGGAATTGCCTTATGGAATTGAAAAATTAATTCCGTGCTCTGATACATATTTAATAGACTGCTGCAAAATAACATCAAGACTAAGAAGTGAAGATATTAAAGCATTAAAGGGATAAATTCTTTGTGGTTACTAAGGCATAGATTTTAATGCTACTTATTTTCTTTTTTTTTCTCCCCAGGTTCCTAACCTTCAGGCCCTGGTATTGTGCTCCGGAGCTGTAGTTGCAGCAGGGAGAGAGCCTTTCAAACCAAGCAATTATGATTCTCTTGGGTATTCACGGCCTGCTAAATTGCTTGGAATTGCAAATCGAGTATACCCAAAAGCAAATGCCAAGTCAGAAAATGAAAATAGTAAGTTCATTGAATTAATTTGTATTTTACTAATTGGTTTATCTTTCTTAACGTAAGACATAGACCATGACAATCTTAGCATGATCAAGGATATTCAGAAAGTCCGGTTGAAACTGTTTGTGTCTCTTTGATTCCTCTATAAGCGTAAGAAAGATCAAAGTGTTAATGTGCTTTTTAAAATTTAAGTTCCTGCTAAGTACTCAGCTAGTATGCATATTTCTTTCAAACAGACTAATTTAGAACATATATGCAAATCTTTAAGTGTATTTTATTTTTTATTTGCTAGACTACTCCAAGTTGACTGATCGAATTACTTGAGCAAAACTTTTCTGCAATTTCAGAACTTATCTTAGCCAGTGGAGATCTGACTTGTCCTTGTCATGACTTTCACTTTATCCTGTGTCCCACACTCCTCAACATAAATAGGAAAAATATTAGAGCATCCATCCACTCACAAATTCATCATATTTGCGAAGCTGATCTTGTGTAAACAGAACGTCATCCTTTCCTGTATCCTCATGCCTGTGGTGTATGCTTTTTTTTGGATAACTTTGGGAAAAGATACAAAAATAGGCACTTTTCCTGTTATTACTTGTGGTGTTGTGCCACTGACAAGGTCAGTAAGAATGTGAAGTGGCCAGTGGATGGTCAAGAACGTGAGGAGATGTTGAAAAGAAGCCAGACTAGCTGAATAGCCTGAGGTCGAGAGGAACAAAATGCTGTGGTACTAGAACTTTAGGCTGTGTGGGAATCATCAGCATTAGAGCAACCTGTGGGGCAGAGGTACTGTCTAGAGGGAAACTTGTTTAATCCAGAGGTACCCTGTACTTTTGCTATACCTGCATGCTGTACTGGAGAGTCCAGGGAGCACTGGAATGGTTTCTGCACTGAGATTTTCTGTGGTAATCTTGACTCTGTTCATGGAGAACATTGATAAGACACTTGGCTTCCATTTACTTGAGGAGTTTCTTCCACATCTCTCACAATTTATTATGTCCTCATCAAACTATTCATTTTAGTTTTTCTCAACCTTCCCACTCTTTGACTTGCACAGCCTGAGAGCTCTTTACAGAGCACAATGAGTCAAGAGAATAGGAATATTTCGAGAATGAATAGGAACATTTTGAGAATGCACATTCTGCAGAAACAAACAAAAAATCCTACTCAAATTTTGCTTTGAGCCAAAGATTGAGCCTTGCAGTGGTAGAAAATGTGAGTAGCTGATAATCTGATAAACTCTTTCTAATCCTTAGTTAACAGCAATAACAGAGAAAAAAACAACCCACACAACTATTTCTTTTTGTCTTTAACCTGAGAATTTCAGAAATATCTTGTGTAGGAGACATCACTGATAATGTGAGAGCCTGAAAAATTTCAGGTGCTTTGTTTCAATTCCATTTCCTGAGACTGAGATTTTTACTCTAGGAAGCATAATGTCTGGTCTGTGTTAGAGAAGTTTGTATGAACTTTTATTTCTGCTTCTGTTCATGATAAAGCATATGCCTGGAAAACTTGCAAGGCACTCTGCCTGAAATTATAGACACGTATCTATAACAGTAATATGTTAACTGTGAAAGTCTTGATATGAAATTATTTGTGATTCACCTGAGCAATAAAAAACAGAGCTTACTTTCAAGCAATGTAAATAAGTTAGTATTACATGTGTTAAAATAACTTTCTGCAAGTGAAACCTTTCTATTCAATGGTGGCTCCTGTATATTTAGGTGTCAGTAACAGTTGTGGAAGTCTGTGTGGGTGTACATGCGCTGTTCCCCTTGTACAGGCAGAACTTCTTGGGAGACAGGAAAACTTTTTTTTATCTCATATTCTTTTATCTCTCACCTCTTCAGTGACAACTGCTAGAGAGATGAGATACAATTTTTTGAAAAGTCCATTTATTACAGAGCAATCAAAACATAATTCTGGAATATTGAATATGTATGCAAACACATCTTGGGCCATGTTCAAAATTCATTTGAATCTGGAAATATTCTCCTTAGCTTTAGTGAGTTTTTCACCGTTGTCTACAATACTGTAGCATAAAATGCGTCTCAGAATGTAATGATTTAAATGAAGATTTTATAAGAAGGTCAAGTGCTTCCACATTTACTTCTCTATAGGAGGTCAGTCCAGGGGATTAGATCTGAACCCTTTATTCGCATGTCAGTGACATTACTCACAGTAATTACTCACATGATGTAGATTGCTGGATTTAGAGCCCAGGGAGATACAAGTTCACCTTAACTGACACGTTTTAGCACTAACTACAAGAACTAATAGGAAATAATATATTAATGATCGCTAATGCATGAAGAAGAAATAAAGTTTGTGGCTTAAAGCCCAAACAAGCAAGGTCCTGTGAATCCCTTGAAAGGTTCAATACAACCTCAACTCCCAACTAAGTATAAAAATGTGAGGGCATTTAGTACTTTCATAGGCTTTGGAACTTCAAATAAAACTATAGCTCTGGCATTAGAAAGAACCTATTGCAAAATAAAATTAGTTGAAAAAGTACTTAAATGTTTGATACATTATTAGAAATTGGTTATATTTCTTTCTCTAGCAACTTCTTAAAAAGAACAGCAAGATTAGCCATGTTTTTCACTTTACTTTCTCATATTCTGGAAAATAATCACATTTCATTAACTTCTTTTATACTAATTTTTCTCCTTTATTCTTTTCCTTTGCTGCCTGTCTGCTGTCTCACCATCTGGATCCTTATGCCTGATATTTGTCTGCTCTACTTTCCACCTCCTGAATGAATCTGAATTCTTTCAATGTAATTACTGGTAGATGAAATGGACTCTAGCTCAAGATCTCAGATATTCTCAGTTTCTTCTGATAAAGGGTCCAGCAATGATAACAACTCAGATTCTTCCTATGTTCCTGACAGTCGTAATGGGATAGGGGAAAATCAGTCAGTTACTGGTGAACACCTATCTGTGGCACAGTATGAAGATGACGTTGAGAAATCAGTTCACGTTAATCAAGATGGCAGTATCACAGTGGAAATGAAAGTTCGATTCAAAATTAAAGAGGAAGAAACTATTAAATGGACAACCACTGTAAGTCGTGCTGGCCTTTCTGACAACAAAAACGCTGCCATTTGCAATTCTGCAATATGTGCAGAAGACTGCTTATCCAATGTAAATGTATCAGAATGTATAAAACCAGAAGATGGATTTTTAAAGAGCTACAGTAAAGAAGAGGGAGGCTCATTACAGCAAATCAATGCAGAAGTGTCAGACAAAGAATCAGAGTCTGATTTAAAAGCTGCTGATTGTAATATCTCTAAGAACAATTCTGCAGATCTAGATGTAAGCAATTTACCTGAGGATAATATCAGGCCTCGCTTTTATAGGCCTCCCACCCCTGGTCCAAGGCGGGTTAGACAAAAGAAAGCAGTAGTTGAAAGTGTCACCCTGGTATCTGAGAAAGAGGTTCAGGAGAAGACGGTAGGACAATTTTCCTACAGTGAGGAAATACAGAACGGAGAAAATAAATCTGAGTATTGCATGGTAGCTCATTCAAGCAGAAAAAAATCAAGTGTCATTAATCCAAAGTTTAGTGAGATGAGTAACAATGATTTATTAAAGCTTTCCTCAGAAAATATAAAAGAAGAAATGCATTTTAAAGTAAGCCACAAAAGTAGTGATTTAATAGAAACCACGAATAGGAAGACATTAGAAGTGTCTGATGAGGGTGAATTGGTACAGAATATATTGGAGAAATCAGCTGTGGAGAAAGGTACATATAATAGTTTAGTATCAACCTGCAAAGCGAACATAAGTAGTTTGATACCATCATCAAAAATTTACCAGGCAGCTAGGCCAGGCTCAGCAGACCACATCCATGAGTCATGTGAGATTAAACAAATAAAAAGATCAATGAGTTCTTTCATTAGCTATTCAGAATCACGTGGGTCAAAAGAAGAAGCAAAATGCAAAGCTGCTGATTTATTATCTATTTCTCAAGACTCAGTGCATTCAGCCTGTCCTGGACATTGCCAGATGAAGATGATGTTACCTCCATGTACTAAAGCTCACACTGAGGAAATAAACCCAAGAACTGGATTCTTTCCTATTGTTACTGAAAAAGAGAATCAAATCAGTGTCAGAACCGAATCTGTGACAACACATCTTACTGATGACAGCCAATCTGCATCTCACCTCACCAAAAAGAAGAAGAAGAGAAAATCACCTACCTTCCTAGACCAAAGTACTTATGACAGTCATAAAGAAAAAGAATTTTCAGGGGTAGTTAGAAGTGAGGGACTGCGTATCAGAAGCAAAACCACACAGAATTCCACAACAGAGGCTATAGATAATTATTCTGAAATGCCTCAGAAAAAGGGAACAGATTTTATTGTAAAAAACAATGATGGATCTGTCAATTCAGACAAAATGTGTTCTGAAGATGAATTCTATCACCAGAACTCAGTGGAACAAAATGGATTATTGTCTAATAAAAAACCAAGAAGTAATAAAAACAAATTGGCTAAGGTAAAATTGAAGTCAGGCAAAAAAAATAGTATCATTTCATCTGTAAAGAGTGAAGATGGTCTAATGACAGTTGATTCAAACAATGGCTCTGAATACAGACAGGATACACGGAGTACTGAGAAAGAAGGCACACAACTCACAACTTGTTCTTCTGAGCAGACACCTAACTCATCAGTGATTACAAAGCCATTGTCAGAAGTACCAAAGAATCTCAGCTTTGAAAAGGAAAAGAATATTTTGGAAAATTCGTCATCAAAGAAAGAGAAAAAGCAAAAGGGGATGAAGAAAAATCTAAGTAAACATGCAAATAAGTTAAATATGTCAGAGAGAGCCATCACACTAGAGGCTCTAAACCAGGAGGATTTTCAAGAGGAGGTTGTTGAGCATTCACTTGAAAACTATGTTCAAACTTGGCTGAAAAGCTTGCTACCAAATTCTGTCTTACCCCCTATAAAGAAGAAAGAAGGTAATCTTGAGAATAACAATGTCTGTCATTTTCCTAAAGAAAATACTGATGATTCTATGGATAAAGAAACAAGATTTATCACAAATAAAATGCATGTGACTGGAAAAAACCATCTGATTGAACATAATCTAACCAAAAAAACATTGAAGCCTATTTGTAAATTGGGAACTTTAGAAGAATCAACCAAGGATTCAGGTGAAAAACAATGTGACTCTTTAATTCGTGCTAACACAACTATAGTAGAAGAAGCCAAGTATTCACTAAAGTCAGAATTTCATCGTGATGGTAAACTACACTTGTTTCATGAAGCACATGACAATAAAAAAAAGATGTCAGAAGCTGATATTCAAGATACTAGTCTATGTCAAAGAAAAAAATCTGAGGTTGCTGTTCAAGTTGATTGTGCACTTCTCAATGAGAAAATGGCAATTAATATTCAGAATAACTGCATGTCTAGCATGTTGCTGCATGAACTACAATCAACTTTGCTTGGTCTTCAGAATGAACATAGTGGGTGTATAGGAAAATCTTGCGGCCTTTCGGATCTTTCTCCTTCAGCTTTTGGTTCTTCCTCCAATTTCCTCCTAGCTTGGCTACTTGTACTGAATCTGAGAGAGAGTTTGATTGGGACAATTAAAGATGATGTGCAAAAACCTACTTGTAACTGTTCTGAAATAATTACACAGTTACAATTTCTGAAACAAACTACAGTCACAGGAAAAGTTGATGAACTGAAGGCTGCCTTCTCACATGTTCAACAATCAGCAGAAAATAACTTACTACACTTTGGGAGGGAACTCAAACAGCAGGACTCCACACATTGCCATGAGAATATGCCCATATCTGAATTTCATAACGATATAGATTTGCATGAAAATGAAAAATTGGTTGAGTCTTGTTTTCCAAAGGACGGTGTAAATTCCGAAGAAGCTCTAAAATTGACCGGTGAATTAGAAAGCTGTTTCAATATACAGGAGGATCCTTGTAGAGAAACAGAGATTTTAGACTTGAGCGCTCCTAAAATGCAGCTAGATGGTCAATATGCCAATACGAATTCCAATACCTGCAGCCTTGCTTCAGCTACAGAGCTACCTGAAAGAAATGAAGAAGTGCCTGATAGTCTATATAAAAAATCTCAGGATAAAACCATTGATACATCATTCATTAATGAAGTGTCAGAAACTTCAATAGAACCTAACTCGACAGTTCATAGTGTAACTTCTAATGACAAAAATTGTGGTTTAGATCGGGATACTTCTGAGTTAGAAGGAGAAAAATCTATTATACATGTTACTACTGATAAAAGTGAAGATGAGAAAGTTGATCCAAAGTCAGCAGGTAGTGACAAAAACCTGAATAACCAGCTTAAACTAGATGCTGAAACCTCTGTTGAATGTAATACTGAGGATTATTCTGTAAAGGAAGACAAGGAAGATGCAGAAACTTGTGAGGAGAGCTCTGAGAGGTTATCTACAGTCTCTCCATTATCATTTTGTTATGAATCAAAGCAAATTACAGAGTGTGATATAAGTGAAGGAGAACAGAAATTGCAAGTAGAAGAACTGGAGAATAAAATACATTCAGACGCTTCTCAATCAAAAAAATACTTAAAAAGTCCTGCTACTTCAGACTGGTCAGATTATAGACCAGATAGTGAAGAGAGTGATTATAACTTTAGAGCATCCAGTGATTTGACCAATGAAAGTGGGGAAGAAGCAATACTTGAAAAACATTACAATACTGGTTATGTAAAAAGAACGATTGAACGACTTTATGGCAAGACGGAAGCTTCATTTAAGCCTGACTTTCAAAAAGGATTTCCTTATTTGTCGAAAGTATTGCAAAAGGATACTGAAGACCTTCACTCTGCAATGGTGGAAGAAAACATTCCTTTTCCTCAAGAACCTAGGCCTTGTTCTGCAGAGAAATCATCACGTTCTTCACTACAATCACAAGAATTTCTAGTAAACATAAACAATGACTATACTAAGTCAAGAAGAGAAAGCACTTCTTTACCAACACCACAACCTACTCTTAAGAGAGAGGAGACAAGTTATACCAGTTACAGTTCAGGAGAATCTCCAAAGCAACATTGTGAACCTAGTGTAAAAGCTAATGAAGATGAAGGGATACTGATAGATAAAGGCAAATGGCTTCTCAAAGAAAACCATCTGATAAGAAGGTCACCACCTGAACGGAATGGAATGTATGGAAATTTGGATACAACATCAGCAGACACAGTCCTTGATGCAAACAGTGATGATGTTCCATACTCTCACTTTGGCAATCTGAATCAGTACACACTCCTCAATGAAATCTCTTCTTCAGAACTTGAAGAAATGGCTAAACCCTCTGAAAATTTTTGCAACTACTTCAATATGCCTCATAACAGCGATTCAGACCCCCTTCAGGACGATTTAAGTACAAAAAGCAAACCTAGCCGCAATGGCAAGATCAAACCATCAGTCATGGCAGGTTCTACTTCCACACATCTTTCCAAACAGGCTGATACCAATAATCCAGCCTTCACATCTGTAGAATTTAGATTGCCTGATAACAAGGTGCATCCGTTGGAACAGCCTTCAGATGATGAACCCATGCAGTCTCAGCCAACTCATGTTAGTAATGCTAACAGAAATGCTCTTCGGGAAGAAGATTCTCTGGATAAACTCCATGCTATATGTGGCCAACATTGTCCAATACTGATGGTGACAGTAACACCAGTTAACGAGGAACAGAGAGGATATGCCTACCAAAAAGCATCTGATATTGAGAACCAGCTGGGTCCATGTTTGTTGGCCAAAAAGAATAAACATTTGCAATGGTCAGGTGAAGATTTAATAACAGACAAATATAATCATGTGACTCTGAAGAATAACTGTATCAATAAGATTGCCAACAATATTTTTAATAGGTTTTATGCTACTAATGCCTTAGATTTTATTGGTAACATTGGAATACTTGCATCTTCAACCCTGAAAGACACAAGCAATTTAGGGAAGTTACATGTAACAGATGATGTGAATGTAAAACCTATGGAAGACAGCCATTGTCAAAATAACCTGTCCAAACACATAACCAGGGATCTTGTGATAGGCACAAACAGTGAGCTACCTAATAGAAAGCCAAAAATATGCCAAACACTAAGAAGACTAATTCATACTGCTGGAGAAAAATTTTCTCCCACGTTGGCATATTCAGCAGAAACTTCTCATTCTGAAACATTTCTGAAGTGTGACATTTCTTTAAATAACATTGAACATAATGCTTCTGAAAATCTACAAAATAAAAATGCCTTTCCTACAGAAGAAGAAGAAGTTTGCTTTTGTACAACAGGCAATGGAAACAGTGAAGATGAGAAAGACTTGTAACAGACTTGGAATTTCTATAATGTTAGATTAGTGAAAATATCTTCAGAAAAAAAAAATCACAAAGTAAACAGCTGAATGGCACACCTAATAAAACTCCCACTGTGAATAAGCCCAGACCTAGACAGATATAAATCACAGCTGTATATAATTGCTGAAATACAGATACTTAGATTTTTATGGGAATCAACATAAGAAGAAAAGCTATTCTGAGGCAGTGATTTTTTAATTTTTTTTCCCTGAAATGTTGTCTATTCAGAGATATTCAGTTCTGTACCAACCATCTCATCTGTAAAGAAACAAATACTACTTGTTAGAGAACTGAAACTAAAATACTTGTCCGAGTTCTGATATTCCTATATTTCATGACATTTGAGAAACGGTTTGAGAATTGTCTTTCAGTAGAAATTTTTCCACAATAAAATTTTATGATTAATTTGAAATAAGAAGTAGGAAATACTGCACAAATGCTGCATAACAACAAAAAGTAGGAAATGGAAGTCATGTTAATTTTGTATAGATTACCATTATCAAATTGTTATTTTACTTTTTAAAGGCCAAGTTCAGAATACTTATATGAGTAAAGAGATCTTTCAGTCTGTATATAGGATCATACAGGCCTCAAATGAAGGTTGCCTCTTTTATACAGAGAATGCTGGAAAAGGATTGTATTTGTTACTGCTGGGATTCCCTGGGAACTGAGAAGGGACATTGTGTGTCAATGGATTTCCTGACTGCCTTTGCCATATTCCCTTCTGAGGCAGCACCACTTACTCTTAAAATTGTTCTACATACACTACAGATTTTAGTTGTGTATTCTTTAACCTCTGGACTTTAAAAGTGGTCCACATATTTTTTGTTTGGTTGTTGTTTTTTTTTTTGTATAAATATGTTGTATTATGAGAGCCTAAGGCATATATGATATGTTTCAGGATTTTTCAGTCTGTTATTAGAATTGTTTTGGATACCTATTTACAACCTTTTTTAATATTATGTGTGTGTAGTAAGCCCTTATATGGTTTACAATTTTCAGTAAGTGATTTTAAATATAAAATTAGAAAATATTTAACATGTATTGTGATTAGGCAGAGTATTTAATATTTTTTGGATACATTTTAAACCCTACCACTGTGTATTACCTTGCTTCAATGTCAATGAAGTCAGACATACACCTGAAGAGGGAAGGTAATAATTTTCAGTTAGAGAACGAGAATCTGGCCATCCTGTACTCTTGCCAGTTGTGTCTAAACTAACAGACATGTATATGCTGTGATAAGCCCTGGATCACAATCCTTATTTGGACTGGGGAAATAACTAAAGGCTGACACCAACACATTTTGGCCCAGGGGCTTTGATTGTCTGTCTGTTGGACAGAAGGCACATGGAGGGGAAGTAGAAGTTGGATGTGAAGCAAAAGATGTTTGCAATACAGGTAGGAAACCTGGAAGAACTCGTCTGTTCTTTGTGGAGTACAGTGGCAGATATATTTTCCCTTAAATAACTGTTATGTTTCTGGTTTTTGAAGCAGTGTATTCTATGTAATAAAGTAACGTTACAATCCTGAAGCAACATGTGTCATACAATGTGTTTCATACCAAATAGCTGTGTGTTATTTCCTATGCTGGCCTTGATTCTGATGTTCTTCCCTCTATCTCCATGTTATTTGGTGTCTGCTTTTGCACGTTTTAGAACTGCTCTAGGCAAAGAGTCTCAATTGTATTTTTTCATTCCTTTATGTGTCAATACAGAAATAAAACATATGTTTGGAAATTGAAGATCTGAATTACTAGAATCCAACTAAATACCAGGCTTCTATGCTGTAAATAATACTTAAATGTTAGGCAAATTAACATGTATGTATCCATCACCTGTGGTCTTTCTGCTAGATTCCCAGCACCCTGTGCTGCCTGCATTCACAGCACTTCAACTTTTTCAGATCCTCTTTAATCATATGCTTATTACAGGATTACTGAGCAAACTAAGCACTCAAAATGTGGGATGTTAAGTTCTGCCTGAGGTTACAATTAGCAGAGACTACAGCAAGTGGTGAAATGATTGTTATATTAACTGAAAGACCCACATGTGATTTCACTATGTTAACTGAAAGAGAAGGAATAAAATGGTCACCTCGGAGCAGGACAAAAAGTTGACAGTGAGATGTAGAACCATAGAATCATAAAATGGCCTAGGTTGGAAGGGATCTTAGAGATCATCTAATCCAACCTCCCTGCCATGGGCAGGGACACCTCTCAACTAGACTAGGTTACTCAAAGTCTCATCCAATCTGGCCTTGAACACCTCAAGCGAGGGAGCATCCACAGCTTTCTTTCTGTGCAATCTATTCCAGAATCTTGCCACCCTCATATTGAAAAATTTTTTCCTACGATCCAATCAAAATCTATTTTCCTTTAACTTAAATCCATTTCCCCTTGTCCTATTGCTGGACACTCTTGTAAAAAGTCCCTCATCAGCCTTCCTGTAGGTTCCTTTCAGGTACTGGAAGGTGCCCCTGGAGTATGCTCTTCCCCAGGCTGAACAGTCTCAGCTCCCGCAGCCTGTCCTTGTAGCAGAGGTGCTCCAGCCCCTGGATCATTTTTGTGGCCCTCCTCTGAACTAATTTCAACAGATCTATGTCCCTCTTATGGTGGGGACACCAGGACTGGACACAATATTCAAGGTGGGGTCTCACAAGAGCAGAGTAAAGGGGGAGAATCACCTCTCTTGATCTGATGGCTACGCTTCTCTTGATATATCCCAGCACATGATTGGCCTTCTGGGCTGCATGAGCGCACTGCCGGCTCCTGTTGAGCTTCTCATCTATCAACACCCCCAAGTCCTTCTCTTCAGGGCTATTCTCAAACCATTCTGTACCCAGTTTGTGTTTATGCCTGGGATTAACCCGACCCAGATGTAGGACCTTGCATTTTGACTTGTTGAAGCCAAAGCTGAAGTTTGCACTGGCCCATTTCTCAAGCCTGTCAAGGTCCCTCTGGATGGTATCTCTTCCCTCAAGTGAGTCCATGGCACCACACAGCTTGGTGTGGTTGGCAGACTTACTGAGGGGGCACTCAGTGCCGTTGTCCATGTCACTGACAAAGATGTTGAACAGCACTGGACCCAGAACAGACCCCTGAGAAACTCAGGAACTGAGTACTATCATACTATCATACTATCATAGGATTTAAATATTTATTACAAGTTTAGGGAAGATATAGAATATTAAAACTTGTTATGCACAGTTATTACTTCTTCCACTAGAGTTTGAACGCTTCTGATATCTGTCTTGACTTTTTTCTATTTTCTATCCTAAGCCTAGTCATGTTTAGTTTATATATGTGTCCCAAAGTCATCATTGTCATTTACTGAGATATACCTTTTTATTCTTTGATATATATTAACAAACTCAGACATTCTCTCAGCTTTTTCTCCTACATAAACATTTTCTCTAACCATCATGAAAAATGTGGTCAAACAGATCTACTGACTGCAGTGAATATTCACAGATGGGTGGAAGTAAAGACTGTAAATTGTTGACTGGAAAGGCTCCAAGAGACTAAAACCTGTGCATTGGAGAAGTTATTGCACAGAATGACCTATAGTAATCAATACTATTTCTACTGTGACATGCAGAAAGCTGGGTGACATGGTTTTGTATATCTAAAAGTGTATAAAAAAATAATGGGAAATGACTGATTTCTCAGAAGTGTTATGCTCCTCAATTTGAGTATATAGAAGCAATACTGTGGTATTGTTTATTGGTTTGCATTTCTGAAGTGCATAAGGCATATTTCTCCTTATTCTAAGAATGTTAGAAGATAGCAAGACCATTTAGTTGTTTAGTTTATCACTATTGAAAAAGTTACCTGACTTTCATAGCACTGATGTTATCAAGTATCACTAGTCTAATTACCACATTATTCCACTGTAAGGCTAAGGGGGATTATTTAATGCAATTTTCTTACCTTAATAAACTAAAGACAAGAGGTCAAGTACACCTACATAGAGTGAGTTAGATGTATGCGTATGCTAGTTTCTCAGTTGTAAATGAGATTAACATGGAGGATCATGTGGTCACCTGTTGCCAGTCATAGTTTACAGAAATTTGGAGCAGACATTGCTTTGGATAGTGTAGAAAATCCCCTTTGTAATAGAAAAAGCAAGCTAACTTCAGCTGTGGAAAAAGCAGATTGCAGCAACTTTCAAGAAGGGTCACAGTGCTCTGTTGTTGGAAAATTTGTTTCTGCCAGTTTCATCCCTTCCTAAGGTATCACAGGTTATTTTTATTTTATTCTTTTAGTTTAGTGTGTTCAGGCTACAGCAATTCTTGTAGTCATGAGGTTTAACCTGTTGGTGTGTACTCCAAACTTCACATCCTAATACTATATTTTAGATGCCTGTTCTTAAACAATATAACTTAAATTCTATCTCTGTCTTTAATTTTCACACTTTCTACTCAGGTTATAGACCTACACACATTTTTCAAACAAATAAGTAAATCTTGGAATACTAGTGTGGAATGTCAAGGTCTTGAGGTTTTTCCTCCAAGATGAACCAAATGTTATGTTAATGTCTCCCTGTGTCTCCCCTCAAAGTATCTATTTTAATAGTTACTGATTCTACAATACTGCATTTCCCAAGGAATGTGTGTTTTACACACA